GTTTGATAAGAAGGAGAAAGGAACATAACACTGAAGGTGCAGCAGGACCAGGTGCACCCAGTGGTTGCTTGCTTCATGGTTCTGCTTTCTAGTTGTTAGGAACTATGATGGAACTCTAAACACAGAGGATTTTTTTCTTGTTGGAACATAACCAAAATACAGTGGAAATACTATCTAGAAAACATCTCCAGGTCAGCTGCCTGCATCCACAGCTGAGCCTTCCTTATGAAGGGCTAGCAAGCAAAACTCCTAGCAGTAGTAGGAAGAAAGATTTAGTGGGCATTAAATGAAAGCAGCCAAAACCAAAGTAAAAGCGATAAGAACACAGTCAATTACCTTGCTGGTGACAAAGCTATAGAAACTGCAAGGTATTCTGCCAGCTGCAGGAGCAGCTAGCCATATACTGGTGGCACAGACTTTTCAAGAATTTGGTATATAGGAGAACACTGTCACGGTGATAAATTTCAGTTCTTCACCTACCCTGTGACAGTACAGGAGCATATTGCCATTGTTGGCACTTGTATTCAACAAAACAAACAACTGTCTTCTCACTCTCACCACCACAGATGTTGGAAGCTGCAGCAAAATGACCACTGGTATGGGGAGGGAAAAGGAGGCAAAGCAGCTGGGGCTGGGAGACCAACAAAAGAACAACCAGATCATTTCTCCAACCACCTGCAACTAGAGGATTAGAGGTAAAAGAAAGAGACACAGATTATCAAAGATCCCAAACCACTGCTGTTCCCACGTAATGCGTGCAATAAAAGAGGCAAAAATAAAATATTGGTAAGCACATCAGCTGCAAAAATTGGGCAGCACCATAGAAATAGTTTCTACTTGCTGCTTTCTCTCAAACAATACTCACATTTCTCAAGAATCCAAAAATAGAAAACCCTGCTAGCTTTTTTTCCTCTTCTGAGGGTCTTCTGCACTACCCCTCCTGCTATCAAGCTTAGCCTATTAGATAAGAGGAATTTGGCAAGGACAGAGTTTGTATAATCTCATCTAGGCTCCCCTTCCCACAGAAGGTTGGACCAGATGATCTTTCAAGTTTCTTTCCAGCCTGGACTATTCTATGATTGTATCACATTACTTGGAATGGAACAGAGATGCATGTGAGATGACTTATATTCCATAATTCGACCAAAATTTTCTATTCTTAAGTCTATTCTAAATTTTATTTAAGAGATGTTTCCACACTCAGAGTAAAGCTGTAACTAATCACACTTCAATACTAGCACTGACTTTAACTCCTGCTGACACTAGCAAAGATTTTGTTGATGTCCAAAGCAAAATGAAAAAAAAAAATTATTAGTAATTTTAGTGAATTTTTATTAACAAATGAGTTGAGTAATATGTGCTGTGGATTTTCAGACAGCAGATTTTAGCATGGCCAACTTCTATCTCCTTTAACATCTACATCAGTGGTATGATGTAAAGTTTATATCTAGAGGAATTCTTTTGCTTGTAGAGCAGAACCTGGAATCATTAGGTGATCTTTAATTCCTGTTACTCGAGGAACCACTCCCAGAAATATACTGGGATTATAGAACACCTGAAGCCTACAACACACAAATCAGAAAGGGCACATTGCTGCAGCTTACAAACAAGCCAAAACAGTGAATCACACTACTCCACAAACGCTTCGTTGCAGCCCCTGTAATGATGATTCCAGTTATCATGCATAGAAAAATCAACTGAGCCAACGAGGATCAGATTAAGAAGCCCCCACCCATCTCCTGTCAGATCCTGCTGGCTACATGCCAAATGGTACTGATTACTGTAGCCAATTAGAATTCTATTGCAGTTCCTTATTCTTATCAGTGATCTCACCTACCTAAGCATCAGGTCAAATAGCTTTATGTTTAAAGTCTCTGAGATCAAGTATTCTATCATTTGTGACTACAGAGAGAGTGCCGGGGCACTGCTGACTGAAAGTAGATCTGCAAATTCCATGAATTTGCCTTATTCCCAACATGAAACATGTTGCAAGAAACATGACTCATGCCTGGCTGACACCAAAGGGCTCTTGAATCAAAAGGGACTTCTAGCATCTAGTATAGATTTACTCTTCTTTTTGGGATGACAAACTATCAGAAGACAAATGGTTACCTGCTGTCTTCACAGTCTGAGAAGAAATTCATACAGCACTCAAACATAGGTCTTGTCAGTGATTAACATCATTCAAGAGGACTCAAAAAGGATAACTCATTTCATCTCTTAGAGGTTAAAGAGACGCAGGTTTGGTCCTGCCTCTTGTAGAAGTGTTGGAACCAAGGCCTTCATTAAGTATATGGACCATCAGAAAGAGGAGCAGTAGGAAAGGACAGTATCTTTTTGACTACCTAGTAATCTGTGAGATGTTAATTTTACATTTTGATTGGATGAATCAAGCAGAAACAACACTATCTCAGTAGGCCTAAACTGACAAGAGAGCAGACTAGTCCTGGGGAAGATGACCAAGAGGATGGAGAAGAATGGAAACCTTGCTGTTTCGAAAGTTTGGAACTGGAAGCTAACCTGAAGACAACTCTGAGTATGTGAAAACATGAATATGTGCAAAAGCTCTTCCCAACGCAATGCCACACCCTGCATGACTGTCAATGTTCTTCACATTTTCTTGAAGCTACTAGATTGGGCCCATCAACTACAGGGAAAGACTCACTGACTAGAAAGTTATCCTATCAAGTATTAAAGAAAATAACTGCCATTCATTTATATTCAGAAGTGTTCCTTGGATTAAAACATATATAAGCCCATCTCCTATTGTGTATGTGATGAAATTGATTTGACAGCTTACAGCATACAAGTTCCTTTGACTTCTGTCCTGGTTTCAGCTGGGATAGAGTTGATTTTCTTCCTGATAGCTGGTATAGTGCTGTATTTTGGATTTAGTATGAGAATAATGTTGATAACACACTGATGTTTTTAGCTGTTGCTAAGTAGTTGTAGTGCTTATACGAAATCAAGGACTTTTCAGCTTCCCACACTCTGCCAGCGGAGAGGTGCACAAGAAGCTGGGAGGGGGCACAGGCCAGGACAGCTGACCCAGACTGGCCAAAGGGATATTCCATACCATATAACATCATGCTCAGTATACAAACTGGAGCTGGCTGCGAGGCGGGAATTGCTGCTTGGGGACAAGCTATTGATCATCAGGTGGTGAGCAACTATGACACTGTTTTTTGTATATTCCTTTATCATCATCACCATCATTATCATTATTATTATTTCCACTTCCTTTGCTGTCCAATTAAATTCTTTTTATCTCAACCCACGAGTTTTGAGTTTTTTGGATTCTCTCCTCCATCCCACCCGGAGAGGAGGGAGGTGAGTGAGTGGCTGTGTGGTGCTTAGTTGTCCGCTGGGGCTAAACCACAACAAATTCAAAGGGTGAAATAATGATCCTATTAAAACATCTTCAGTGGGATGGTTTAACTGGATAAGCTTCATTTAGTAACAGAGGTGATCTAACTAAAGCTTTATAGAATACTACCATTATTTCCATGACAACCTGTGTTTCTTTACTGAGGTCAGATCTGCAGCTTAAATCACTAGGCTGCAGCTCTGAAAAGGTCATTGGGCAATGCCAACATACTGTGGCTGAGGATCACAGTCCCAGTTAATAGAAACTGGGCTTTCAAGCCTGCTGAGGCTGTGCTAATAACTTCCAAACTGCTAAGCAGCAGTATCTCATAATCCTTGTAATGGTTTCTCTTAGAAAGAGCAGGAGAAGTGAAGATGGTAAGATTATAAACTGGCTTCCTCAAAGGATACCAATGGAAATCACATTTTTGATTGCCAATTATGCCACTACATTTAACTTTCCGATAGGGCAAAAGACCCAGGAAGCGCAAAACAAAAGTACATTCCCAAAAGGGAATGAGAACAGCAGCAATTACAAATAGCAGCTCTCAGACTTGACAACAGGAAAAGATGAAGGAGACAAATGCAGAGAGGCATGTCTTGATTATATTCTTTCAGCTTCGAAGGATAGCTGTTAGGGCTTCATGAAGTAACATCCTATGATACTGGTGAGTTGTCACAGCAATACAGGTAGCAATAACTTCTGTCTGACTGTCCATCAACAATGCAATACTTCTTCCAAGGACAGAATGACGACTAATGCAGTACAAACATGCAGGAAGAGTTTCTTCTTGTCGTGCGGGAGGGTGAGGAGAAGAGAGTTGGGCTCATGCCACAGGATCAATGGCTGGGACTGCAGTGACATAGACCTTACTCAAGAATTGTATTATAGTCTCCATTTCAAGCATACAGAAGAGAGACGCGTTTGCATTCGCTGATGTGAAACTCTCAGCTTATTCACCACCCTGGTTATGTAGAGCCAATTCCTTCCTCGAGTGTTACAAAAGTAATCTGCAGTCAGCCGCTTCCTGTGGCTACCTTCTCATTGTCAGGCTTTCCCACTAACAGACCTCAAATTGCTTCAGCAAACCACTGTGCATTTCAGAATGATGACTCCTTCTTATACGAGATTAGCTGGTCTGGGAAAACTGACAATGGAGGTGGCTAACGACTTCCAAGGCTTCTAGTCCTGAATGCTTTAATGGCAAGGCCACAGTTTTCCCATTAAAGTTACGCATCCCGGTGTATCACCAGGCAGATTCTGCACCAGCTCTCAGTAGCTTGTTTTAAAAATTCTGCACTTCCAGACTAGTAACTCTAAGAGATCAGCAGACTGTATCTTACCAACAGCATCAGACAACACAAAGTTGTCAGCACAGTCTGAAGAGCAGGCTGTTATGCTATTACACCAGCACTGCAAAGGTCCTTCCAAACACTCATGTTACTTGAAAAATCCATGAGAAGCACAGTTAGCAGATATTAGAGATAGTAGTAGATATTTGGGTCACACTATTTAGTCAAACAAAACCGAAAAGGAAATCTCATCCCTAATTTTTTATATTATATAGTACAAGGCACAGAGACAAATGCATTTCACAGTTCAGGGGCAAAGTCCTGCCTGCACCATTACTCACTTTGTATTAGAAGACTTCCACTCATCTCTCACTGGCTGATCGAGCAGGGACATCATGGAATAATTATCCAACAAGAGACCATCGGGGTCATCTGTCTGACCTGGGAGTTTCCCAAGAGGAAAGTCTTTCCATGGTACTTCATCTGTGTAAAAACAGTACATAAACAAGAAGTCTGAGCTCCCCAGAGATTTTCAAAAAACAAGATCCGCCCCCAGTCCACAAATACCATCTCATGCAAGTCAGCCATTCAGCAAAAATGAACAATCTCAGGTACTCAGCACAAATAAACTTGAACTGTAGTTTTAACTAATTTTATTTCTAACCTTACTACGTCTTCCAAAGAAAGTCACTGTAGTATGTCAGACATCAGGGACACATCTGGAGTCATGTAACATCACACAGTCTACACAGTGCAGCTCATCCAAACCACTGTGAGACAACGTCCATTAAAAGAAAACCCACAGTATTCTAGAGCAACATATTTACCTTGCTCTTTTAAGCATACTTTCATTTGAAACATACACATTGACTTACATATGTTAATTTTTAAAAATTACTCTGCATACTTCTGTAAATGGAAAGAGCCATTTATACACATATGAACATACAAAACAACACCTTTGCATCCAGTAGCTCATTCCTCCAGTGAGACTAGGCACCAGCTTCTTCATGACTTGCTGAGATTAGCAGCTGCACAGCAACAGTGCAACAGTGACAAAAGAACCGAAGCCACAAAAATAGAAGAGTATAAGGCTGGAGAAGCCTAATTAACCAATAAAGCAATTCTGGACAGACAGGTGAGCTGGGATGAGATGACAAAGAAAAAGAATATGACAATGTTCTGGAAATTCTGCTATTTGCTTTTATGAGCATCTATCGCTGTTTCCTCTCCATGACTTCACATTTGTTAAATCTTGCTTCCAATGGAGGCTAGAAACTGCACAATGTGAAACCATCCATCACAACTGATAATATCAGTGAGTCCATTCCTTTATACTGTAGTGCCAAAATTTCAAAGGCAGTTCCCAATAGGGAAATCCCCCTTCAAATTTCATTCTTATTTCAGGTTTAACTAAATGAAAGATACAAATTATTATGTGTCATTGTTTTGACAATAAGATTTCTTAAGCCTATGTGCTTTCCTGATACCAGAACACTTACTTCTGGAATGCTTACTAGCAGCTCAGTGAAGACCAGCAGACAGAAGACTTTAGAAGATAAGGCACTGCACTCAAGAAAGCCAGCAATAATTACACAGACTATTTGGAACCCTGGCTAGTCATGTACAACTTGGCCATTTCCTTCTTTTTGCCTGAAACTGATATGTTTTACGTACCTGACATCTGCTCAAAAACCCAAGCATTGCCTTAAAGAACCAGAAGATTTGTTTTTCCTTTTATACCATTCTTAGCATCTAATATAATAAAAAAATCTTGACATAGGATAGTGCTTTCTATGCGTTATAATTTACGATTTAAAAAGGGGCAGAAACAGCATTTGGTAATATCCAACACAGCTCTAAGTCAAGTTACAGTTATATACATTTAACAGCCTAAGCCTTCTCTTTGGGCAACAACCTAGTACATAGTTGATATACCACATGTTGTCATGGGTTTGTAGATACCTACTGGCTATAGTTTCAAGTTGTTTAAGGATGGTAACTACACAGATGTTATTCAAACTGAAATTAAGTTTACCCACAAATAACTACACAAACAGAATCTTCACAAAAATCAGGTGGTTCAGGACACAATGCATGTTCCTTCAGGGAAAGCTTTGCTTGATCTGAACCAAAGTCACTGAAGCCGAGGACGATTTTGCTTACATTCTCAAAACATCCAGCTCTAACAAGCTGTTCACATCAGCATAACTAAGCCAAGCTCCTTAGGCAGATTTTTTTTGGGTTTTTTTTTTTACTTTGGAAAATTTCCCTGTCAGTGGGGTACAAGAGTTCATTGTCTTCTAATGGCTGCTTTTCTTCTTCCTTTAAATATCACTTTGCCTCCAACTCCTCTCCACCAACCTCCTCCTATCTTCAAGTCCCTCCATAAATCACTTATGCAAAAATCTTCTTAGCTACAGAATCCTCCACCACAACAAGAAAATACAGCGACTGTAGTAAAGCTAACAAAACACTGGATATACTGTTTATTCCCTCTAAATACTTGCCTTGCTCGCCACCATGTCATAACAGCAATTTTCCTGGAGCATGGCACTTATGAGCACATGACTGGTGCTTTCCAGCACAGCCAAACTGCGCTTTCAAATACCCCCAAGTCTGACAAACAGAAGTCCAAGAAACACCCATATTTTCTTTGCCATTCACAGCTGGCATATATGCTGCCTCATCAATCGGATACATTGAAATTTTAAACAGTTTGGAAAAGTCTGATAAATAATTTAATGAGGCAGTAACAACATGCTCCTGGAAAAAGCACTTACAGTATTTTAAGAGTTTAAGAAAGATGACTCCTGCACATAAAACACAAGACTGGGAAAGAAACAGTTTTAAGTGATTTGGCATTTAGATGATTTTGAAGCACACTTCAATACTGGCCAGGCCCAGAGGGCTGAGATGCCTTTGCATTTCAATTAGACAGTCTTTGTCACTGGCAAATGTTAAGTCTTACAAAGTCATTTTTTACCTGCAGTGATCTGCCACGCGGACCCTTGCAGTGCTGCCCTTTTCTCAGCAATAGCCACCACGTTACCAGAATGAGCAAGTCCTTCCAAAGGACTTGTTTCAGTTACCATCTCTTCTTCCTCCTCCTCCACCTCCTCTACACCATCATCTCTCTCCAGCACATCTTCTTGTTTCTCTACAGTCTGCCCTTGATTTTTAACCTGATTTTCTTGCCTGGCCCTCCACTGTAAGCTCTCTATAGTGTAAATTGGCTGTTCACTGCAGTCTGAAGACAGGCCTGGACTGGACAAAGGGCCACCTCCTTCTGTGTAAACGGAAGCGAGATAGAGAAGGTTCTTCCGCGAAGAACGCGGCAAGCGAGGTCTCATGATTGTGAGGATCCTAGAAAGGAAAAGGACAATGTGAAAGTCTTAAAAGCTTAAAAAAGATTCCAGATGAAGGTTTATCAAGCTGAGCAAGCAGCCTTTTAAGCGTGAGTTTCCTCCAGGACAGCTTGCTCAGATATGTCCTCTAACAGGCAAATCTGATTATTCCCTGGTGGGTGGATGCTGGAATACTCCCCCTTTGTGATTAAAATTAAGGACTGGGGATACCTCTAACTGAATTCCCACTTTGCTGTTTTCATGTGAAAAAGTTACCACCTGTGCTAAATTAGTATCACCTGTATAAGCAGTCACACCTCTGCTACCAAGTCACTTTTCTTCTGACCAGGTTGCTGCTTTAATACCCCCCCAGATAATCTCCGCTTTCATTTTGAAGGTGCAATCCTTTTAAGTTCTCCTCCTTCTTTTCTTTGTAGAATCAATGGGGAGATCAGTGGCAACAAGCAGGGCTTTATACGCACCTGCCACAATTTCTACTAGAGGGACGGGAAGGGAAGGCAGCCATAACTCAGTGAATCACAAGGGAGCAGGCCAGAGCTGTTACAGAGCACTGTTTGCTGTCCCTTTTCTAGGTCACAGGGTCAAACTTACAGCTGAAGAAGGTGTGGGGTTGCCCAGCAGGGAGCTTCCAAACAATTATCAGTCAGTCTTATCCACTGCAAAGGAACTTTGTGGAGGAACAGCTCCTTCACAGACACCTGTTTGTTACAGTGTTGTCTTTTCTTCCCTTCAAAGAAGATAATGAAAACAAGATGCTCAAAACCATTAAAATATGCCCTTCATCCCTTTGCATTTTTACTGGAATACGTATCCTCAAATAAGCTGTCATTCCAATCCAAGACCAGATGTACTGATCAAATACATCAAGGTTGTTACAGGAGACTTGCCAATGCACTGACAGACAGGTTAGTTCCACAAGATGTGACCACAGTGAGGTGCAGACGTTCCCAAGCTAGTTCTGTGCATGCCATCCCAAACAAGAAAGCCACAAGATGTGTTTGTACAGTATTGTCTCAAATAAATGCAGTATGCTGCTTCTGGGACCTGGTATCGTTCCACATAGCACGGCAATGAGTAGACTTAACACCTACCATTCAGGGATCTTGGTACTTAATAGACGTGCTCAGTGCTGCCTGAAAGCATCAAACATGAACCCATGACTGCCACAGATACTGGCAAAAGCTTGGTGCAGACTGGGACAGACTGAGAGTACAGAAGAAGTGGCAAAATTAACCAGCTGGAAACCTCCTCAGGGATACACTGTATCACAGTATTAAAGTCCTGTTAACAGAATTCCTGTAACATGCTTTGAATAATTAAAGCTCTTCTGTGCCCCTGTCTCTAGAGTGAAACACAGTTTGTGAATTTAAACAGTTCTAATGCGTTAGGAATAGAAAGCAAAATATTACTTATTACTTTTCTGTAAGTTTAGAAGGCATGACAAATCCTGCGATAGGATTAAAAAAGAACAGCAAGACTATATAAATATCTTGTAAAGGCAGGCTTCTGTTAAGTGAGGAAAGAACTGGGAACAGGGAACTCGTAACAGGTTGCATATAACATCTTTATTTGTTATCTGCTACTGTTATTTCCTACAAGTACTAATATCTGGAAAAAATAGCACTTAAGGGCCTGATCTTTCATGGGAGAGATCAGTTTTTCCTATCCCGAGGAGGCTGCAGCAAAGTTGCCAATAACAATTTCAATTTTTTGCTAAGATATGCGTGACATACATAAGCTGCAGGTTGAAAAGTGTACAAAATGCAACAATAAAAGCTCTACGTTCACATGAGACAAAATGTAATAATTAGGTTATTGCACTTCTCATCTAAAGGTCACACCACTCTCCCAGTTTTCGCAATAGTACGGAAGACACTGTTACATTTTTTACACACAAATTCCAGACATACTCACCAGCATTTACTTTGGCAATGCCAGTCAGCATCTCAGAAATCCAGTTGATCAAGAACTGAGGCCGGAGTTCTGAAGAATCAGAACATTCCTTCAACTCCATGAACATTTTCTCTATTAGGATCTGTGTAAAACTTCGGGACAGGAGGCCTGTCAGCAAAGGCTGCCAAAAGCAGTAGAATGTCTGAGGAATTTTGAACTGCCATACCTCTTTATTTGCTGCAATAAGAAGAAAAAAAAAAAGAGAAACCAAAAATCACTGTTTTGTAATTTTTTGTGAACCATGGGTTGTGAACCATTTGGAACACTTGTTCCAAACTAAAGTAGTTTGTTCTGAGATCACTGGTTGCAGGATACTTCCTGGGATCCTCACTGAACCTGGAACTATTATTTTTTTATGCTAGGGAAGTAAAATAAGCAGCAAATTGATAATTAACACAAAAGCTCAATGAAAGCAAAAAATACAATGCCTGATCTAATCACATGGTAAACCACAGGAAAATCTATCTGTTCTGCTAATCCCTTTCCAGTTTCAGCTTATTTCACACATAATGAGGAGCTATCCTGTCTAAAAATATACTGCAAAGACAAGGCACATTGAGCAAAGCAACACAGAATCAAAAAGCTCATAAATCTTTACTACTGTAATATAGTCACAGAAATTTGAGGATCCTTTTTGGAAAGTTTTGGCTGGTGTTTCCAAGAAGTCCCAGGGAAATACACAAATTATTAATTTTCATTGCCTCTAGGCACCTAATTCTCTTGCAGAAAATCCACACAAATGGGCAGCAGCATGGAACTAAGATGCAACTGGTGAATGAGGCTCAAAAAAAACCACATTTAGGTTTGCTTCAAATCTTCAATGCAGAAAATAAACTAGCGGAAGTTCATCAAATCAGCAACTATTGCAGGTAAGGGCAGAGATGCAAGCTTCAAAAGATGTTTTGGCCAGGCAGCATTCAGTGGTGAAGAGCTGTCTTTCCATGGTAAGAGATTTATGCAAAAGCAATCGCTAAGCATGGCCATAAAGGGGTCTGGAGAACAGGTCAAAAGATGTGTCATAGTTTAACCCCAGCCAGCAACTAACCACCATGCAGCCACTCACTCAGTCCTCCCCACCCCGTGGTGGGATGAGGATAAGAACTGAAAAAAAAAGGTAAAACTCATGGGTCAAGATAAAGACAGTTTAATAGGACAGCAAGGGAAGAGAAAATAATATAATAATGATCATAATAATAATATACAAAGTAAGTGATGCACAATATAGCTGCTCACCGCCCACTGACTGATGCCCAGCCAGTTCCCAAGCCACAGTGCCAGCCAACTCCCCCCACTTTATATACTGAGCATGACACTATATGTTACGAAATAACCCTCTGGCCAGTTTAGGTCAGCTGTCCCAGCTGTGTCCCCTCCCAGCTTCTTGCTGGCAGTGCAGGAGAAGCTGAAAAGCCCTTGACTAGTGTAAGTACTACTTAGCAACAACTAAAACATCATGATGTGCGTTATCAACATTATTCTCATACTAAATCTGAAACACAGCACTACACCAGCTACTAGGAAGAAAATTAACTTTATCCCAGCTGAAACCAGGACAAGATGTTTAAGGACCTAGGTATATGAAAAATATGCAGAGAATTAGAGATTTCAATGTAATGAGAAAAAAAGAACAGACTTGGACATAACACTAGCTATGCACCTTTTACTTATGTGGTGCTCAAAACACTAACCTTCATACTTGATATTTAGCATCTTCAGACAATCCATCTTTGGGATGAGAAAGCCATCACTGAGAAGAGCTTCAGCCACTGCCTCCCTAGAGCAATCAGAGAGTCTTATTAATGCCACTTACTTACTTATATCCAAACACCACTTCCACCAATTCTGAAATAAGTCTGAGAGCCAAACACCTGGAACTGTGTAGCTCATTGTAAGACATTAAAATTGTATGCCAGTTTTGGGCTGGATATACCCCACTAGACTTGGGGGGAATGTGCGGTACTGGAATGTGCAAACTGGAACAGAACCTCAAAGGAAACATTTCTGCTCGAGTTGCAGGGGCAAGTATCTCGGTATTTCAAAAGCACAGGAAAATTTGTCATAAACATTCCAAATGGACAGGAACATTTATCACACTGAAATACCTACGGCTTGCAGAATGATCCAAGTCCTCTGCCAGCAGGCCCACCAAGATTTGAGGACCTCTGACCCACAGAGCTAGGTTAAATTTCAGTGGAAAAGCCAACCCCGCTGACTTGCTGGGAAGGCACACCTTAAGGTGCAGTTCACACAGCTGTCTGGCAGATAGTTGCAGTAGGGTCATAACTGCTCTTCCCTACAGCTCTTTTTTGGATGTCTCCTGCCCTTACAACTACCCTGTGAACTTTAGTTAGTCTGACAGCACTGAATGGTCCAGCTCAAGGACCACTTCATGTCCTATTAGGCTGGCTTAATGCAAGTGGAAGATGGAGAGGACACACATAGGTAGGCTGAACTGACACTTGAAAGTAAAATACAGCGAAGGGGCAGAAGCAAAATTCCCACAAACTACCCCAATATCCAGCCACGGGATTCTCTCGAGTTCTTCTGTTCATGCCTCTATCCATGAGTCTCTCTATCTGTGCAAAGATACAACACTAAAATAAACACTTCTCAGGATAAAAATCAAGGTGCCTATTTTCAAACACTGAATAAATTCCACAGAAACAACTGGTTTTGCTATCAGACTCCTTAGGTTTGGAATGGTAGTACCCATGTCAAACACAAAATATTTTGGTATTGGAAAGGGTGAGAAAATTTTTCTTCTCCAATAGGGGTGACTTCCAAATCTAAACGTCCAGGCACAACTTAGATCCAACACAGGATTTTTATAAATACAAACAGCAGATGAAGATCTCAGAGTGCAGAAAGAACACACATAAACACTAGACCATTTTGTCATAAGTAGATGATGTGGTGGGAAATCAGAAGGCAAGTGGTAGAATGTAATTTGTTTCTAAAAAAATCCAGTTCCAATCCTTCTCTTCTCTGGAAACAGTTCCAGCATAATTACCATTATTCCTACACACAATGACTGATCATCACCAACTATTAAGGACATCTCCATGCAGATGGCAGCTTCAGTAGAGAACCATTTAAGCAGAACATCTAGCTACGAAAGGTCCACTGGGTCAGTTTTCTGAAGCAGACAGCAGAGGATCCTTTCCAGTTAGCTCATTTTGTTTTAGATCTAGAGGAATCTTCTGCCCTCTGCACAATCCAAATTACAGGGTATGTTGATAGGGGAAATTAAAGGTTTTACTCAAAATTACATAGGCATTCTAAATTAAAATAGCACTTTCATAGTTCGCTTGACATATTCAAGAGAACTCAAACTCTGTTATCCCTGGGTCCATAATCCAAGTTTCCAAGCGTAATGGAGTCACAACCTTGTCAATGTGTTCTGCACCAGCCTTCCTCCCTCCCACATGGTCTATTTTCCGTGAATAAAGACAAAAAAAATTCTCTCAAATGAAAGCAAGAAGCTGAGTCCTTAAATTAAGCATCTTCAGGAATACATACAAGACTGCACGAACAACCCTGTCTTCAGCTGAGAAGGAAAGTACCATTAGTCAGTCCTTTAGAAAACTAAATTCTCATAGAGGCCACTGGGGAAGCACTAGCCCAGCTGCATTTGTGAAACATGACAGACTCCATGTGACTGAAAGAGTAAACAGCTGCAGCATTTCAGGACAGATACAAAGCAAAGCAGAAGCAATTACCACAATGGCATTCAAAAACAACTCCTAGAAACCTCTGTGTTCACTTATATAAACATACACACACACAAAATATGCTTGCACGCTCATTGCTGGTAGCATACTACTATTCATCTTCTCAAACAAATGCCATGGTGGAAACTGGACTGGTAGCAAGGGCTACAGAAGGTAGAGCTTTTATTGAGTTTCTGAAGAAGTAAGAGAATCTGAGACCATTCACACGAGAACATTTAATGGAGAATTCCCTCTAAAGGAAGATCAATCTGCACTTAAGAGAAACCCCATAGCATATCACTGTATTTATGTTGCTATATAAAGATCAATGGAAACCACAGTGTGATAGGGTCTCATTTTCAATACAGTTACCATGCTATTATTAATAAACAGAAGTAGAAGGCACATGTATGAATCCTTTCTGGGAACTGTTTTTAATAATGCTGGGCTCTCAAAGAAAATGTGTAGGTGGTTCTAAAGAGTTGGATATAGGCACAGTCTTCCATTAACTATAAATACAACAGCTTGCGTTCTTTAAAAGTTGCATCTGGATGCTGGAATAAAAATAGCATGAGATGAAAAGTAGGCACTCAAGGATGAAATATGGCAGTGACTGCCAAATCTAGAGTTTGCTCTACCCTTCTGAGGTTTCCAACCCACCTCTGCTGCCTCCTCCTCCACAAGAAGAATGTACTTGTGATTTGCCTGACTGTTCATCATGCTCAGCCTGCTGAA